GCATATTGACAATGGAGCCGAAAAGAGCCTTGCTCTCGCTCGAAGATTTCTTCGTGGAGTCCGTGAGGCCCATTAAGGAAACAAACAAAAAAATCATCATCGCCATCATCATCATCATCATCATCAGGTACTCAAAGTGGCAAGCTGTCCCCTTCACGATGGGGAGTACCGTTCTCAACGAAGACAGCCACATCCAATGGGGAAGCTCCTCAGCCGACACCAAAGTCACTGCAAAGAGACACCTCTACTCGCCAACCAGGGAGAAGACATCAAGAAGATCTGTCCTTTGGCAACAAGCACGTCCCAGCGTGTTTTTTTGAGAGCGGGAGCAGACTCCCAGTCGCTGACTTCTGCATTCCTGCTCCTCAGATCAAGACTGGAAAAACCACAATCTACTCTGAATACAGAAAGATCAGATTGAATCGTGCAGGTGACATTGAACTAAACCCGGGACCAGAGGTGCTGGTGCGGTGTGGCGAATGTGGGGTTGCATTTAGCGAAGCCAATCTACCAAAAGCTAAGATATATTTAATCAGGAGGGGTGTGAAGAAAGGACACACAAAGGGCCCCAATGTAGTGGTATCGGTAGGTGGAGCTCCACAGAGGTGAGCCTCCACTGGGTAGCGACCAACCAGCAGGAATCCCATCAAGCTCTGCTAAAGCACATTGCTTGAGTTGCAATGAGACTATCCGTAAAACTTATGGAGGTTCTCGGCGCCTGAGGTGTATTGAGTGTGGGAAATGTTGCCACAAGAAACCAGAATGTTGCAAGATGACGAATGAAGAGATGAAAAGACGTCTGAACAACTGGACATGTTGGAAATGCATTGATGCCCTAAGCCCACAGCCAGAGGCTCCTATGCCAAATCTTGACACTTCAATAGATGATATATCCAAACAAATGAAGTCATCTGAAAAGAAATGCTTACGCATTCTTCAATGGAATGCCGATGGTACAAAGACGAAGGTTTGGAGAACTCGAGATGAGGCTTAAGGAGCGCGATATTGATTTGGCAATGATCCAAGAGAGCAAACTCGGAAAAGGACAAAGAACCCCACATATCAAAGGTTACATGGCGATTCGGGAAGACAGACAGGGGGCCCAGGGAGGAGGATTGATCAACTATGTCAGAGATAGTCTGGTGTATGAAATAGTGGATAGAAGGGCGAAGACAGTAACAGAATCGCTGACCATCAGGATAAGAAGGACAAGAAAAAAATGGATAACTGCCACTAATGTCTACTGTCCACCCAAGAACAGCACAGGTCAAACCATCCAGCTTGATTTGAACAGCATCCCAGTGTCGCCATCCAGCATTATTTGCGGTGACATCAATGCGCATTCCCCAGTCTGGGATGAGATTCAGCCAGAGGATCCGCGAGGAGACGATGTAGTTGAATGGGCATGTCATAAATCGCTTGACATCCTGAATGATGGTTCTGTCACCCGAATCAACAAAACAACAGAAGCTGGCAGCTCGCCAGATGTCACGCTATGTGGAAGTGTCTGGAAGAGCAAATGTGTATAGTCGGTGGATGATGAAGATCTCGGTGGTTCTGATCATTCTGCAATCATCATTGTAGTGAACAGTGCAACTAAACATCAATCAATCTTTGCAAAGGCGCCGCGATGGAGAAGAAATGGAGTGAACTGGCCAGACTTTCGAAATGAGATTGAAAGCAAGGATAACTTACCGGAAACTGACGATCTGAATCTGCGAGTCCAACGTTTCAATGCCATCTTACTTGAAGCAGCTTATGCGCATGTCAGGAAGGTGAAGCCGTCCAAGAAATCCCACTCTTGGATGACCCCCAAGTGTCGTGGACTGATCAAGAAAAGAAACCAGCTAAGAAAAAATATCTCCCCACACAGGGAGGAATGGTTACAAGCTTGCAAAGATGTTACAGAGACTGTCCAGGAGGCAAAGACTGACCCGTGGAAGGAGGTAGTTAATGGCGTGATAAATTATCTGGACGAAAGGAAAACTTGTGGAGTTTCATCAAGTCTCTAAATGGATCACCAGATACCAACTCTCCCAACGAAGTACTGAAACACAACGGGAAAAGGATAACATCAGCAAAGAAGAAAGCTGAGCTTTTTGCTCAGCACTATGCAAAAATCAGTAAGCTCCAATTTACCCAAGAGGAGCGCAGAAGAAACAAACTCCGATTGAAGCGACTACTGTATGACGATGCGAACAGCGAAGATGAACAGCAGTCATAACCAGACTTCATCCTGAAAGAGCTGTTGCGTGCCATAACACAAATGAAGAGAAGAAGTGCTCCAGGACCTGATGATATACCACCATCTTTCCTAAAAGAGCTTGGCCCATTCGCATTGAAAGAATTGCTCAGCATATGTTATCTGTCGCTTACCCAAGCAGCGTGCCCACAAGACTAGCGTAAGGCACTTATCATTCCTCTCTTGAAAGCTGGTAAGTCACCTAGTGATGTGACATCCTTTCGACCCATTAGTTTGACATCCTGTGTCGTGAAAGTTATAGAAAGGATGCACGCTGAAAGAATCTACTACCTGTCAGAGAAGAATGAATGGATTGCAGATATTCAGGCAGACTTTCGCCAAGGTCATAGCTGCACGGACCAGATCATCAGAATCTGTCAAGGAATTGAGGATGGTTTTCAACAAAAGCCAACATTCCATCGATCAGTCCTAGTCCTGCTGGACTACTGAATGGAGAAACAAGCAAGAGTCAGAATTTCAAGCAAGGGCTTCCCCAAGGAGCTGTACTATCACCGCTGCTGTCTTCATAAACAACCTGGCAGAATCCCTCCCAAACCCTGACTAACAACTAACCTCCGCCAAGCTGATCTACTCAATGTTCGCTGATGACTGCACAATACTGGCCAGTCACGCAAAGAGAGCAAAGGCAAATGAAGCGACACAGTTGATTG